GATGGCTTAGAGAAAATCATGATTAAATAACTAATGATGGACGTTTGCAGATTTTAGATAGGTGCTATTCATTTGCACTGGATTTTCAGTTATTTAATTCCTTAAATTTTTACTGAAAGTTCATCTGCTGGAAACAGTAACCATTTGAAATGTGCCAGAGCATTCAGTTCTTAACAAGCCTGCCCTCAGGAGAAAGTATTTTACCACAAGCTATCTGCTGGGATTTTTTATCAGAGCCTAAACCTGGGACAAGGAAATGCCAACTCCAGCCTCTTAACCATACCTGGCCCACTTTATCATGGGAGAACTGAGAAAGTACTGATGAAGTTCACCAGCTAGGAAACAGGCTCAAAGGACTGAGACCTAACTATAAGACTACTAACACTGGACCTACCTCCACCTTGCTACACACCACTAAAAGCCCCTTACCGCATTCCCTTTTATATATACATCAAGTACAAGAGCAATCTTAGTAATCATTATACTGCTAAGTAACAGATACCACTCTGCAATTAGAAAGAAAGAGAACTTATATTACATATAATAGGACTGAGATCCAGTAATCAAGAACTGACAAGATCCTATTTGTAGTGGAGAAATCTCTACAAGTGAGTGAGGGACTGAGCTCTAATAGTAAGCAGAAGATCAAGCATAGATCATATCATCTTACTAATAAATAGCTACTGTCCAAACTCAACATCGAATACACCATTATCATTAGGCCCCTAAGCCAATTGACTCCATGAAGATTAAATACTAACTGATGAGCAGAGAGCCTGCAGATCACTAACTCTTAACCAGCTAAATATGTCACAATATGGATTTCATGAGTTTGAGAGAAACTATAGCATCTAATTACACAAACAATGACCAGACTAAAGGTTTAAACATAATCTGAGAGAGAGCTGAAACAAACATCAGAATACGTAATAATATGGCAGGAGAATAATGGATTATCAGACCAGGAAGTTATTAAACTAAGATGTATAACACACTGGATTAAATAAGACATAATGCATTTAATGGAAAAATAGAGAAGCAAACAGGTGAAGAATAAGTAAGCAGAGAATGAAAAATGAGATCAAAAAAGAATAAAGATAAACACTAAATGAAGATGCATAATGGAATAGGTATCAATTATAGAATAACTATGACGAAAGAGTTAGAATAAAGATACTGAACTACAAGTAGAAGCAGAAGAAAACACAAAAAACAGATTGTAGAACTGTGGACAATATATACATAAGTGCCATGCACACAATAGAGGTCGACAGTGAGAAACAGGATAAGAGAGCAGTATATTCAAGCAATAATGACTAGAATATCCTCAATTAATGTAGAAACAAAAAGCCCACCAAGACACAAAGCTAAGAACACCAAACAGATAACATGCCCAAGAAACTATATCCTGGGCATACTCATATTAAGCTTCAAGAACAAATCAAATAAAAATATCTTGAAAGAAGCACGGTAGACTGTGGATGGGAAACTTACATTTATAGAGAGCTAAGACAAAGATAATGAATTCTTCTCAGAAACCATAAAATGAAGAGAGTGAGTAAAATATTTAAATGTGAATTTAAAAACAAAAACGGAACAAACAGAAAGACCACACACCAACCTGGTATCCATTGCCCTTGAAACCATCCTTCAAAAAGAAGAACGGCCAGTCAGGTGTCTCATGCTGAATCCCAACCTTTCGGGGGCCAAGGCAGGAAGATTGCTTGAGCCAGAGTTCAAGACCAGTATGGCAAAAGTGAGAGCCCATCTCTACAAAAATTTAAATTAACTGGCGTGTGTGGCATGTGTCTATAGTCCCAGCTGCTCAGGAGGCTGAGGCAGGAGATCACTTGAGGCCCAAGAATTGGAATCTGCAGAGTAGATGATGCTACTACACTCCAGCGCTGGGTGACAGATGAGACTCTGTCTCAAAAAAAAAAGAAAAGAAAGCAAGCTCTAAAATCAATAATTTAAGATCCACTTTAGGAGTATGCTAATTAAATTGAGAGTAAGTAGAAGATATAATAAAATAGGGCAAAGTGAATAAATGAAATGAATTAATAGAGAAAAAAAAAAAATATCAATAAGACCAGAAGTGTCTTGAAAGTATGATTAAAATTGATAAGCTCTTGGCAGGCTAATTTAAGAAAAAGAGAGAAGCCAAATACTAATATTACATCTAATAGCCGCTATATATTGAAAGAATTAATCATTATAATAACTTTAGAAACAAAAAAATGTCACTGGCAGGCTTGATCCTCCATGTAACATACAGGCCAATACTTTGGCACAAGCATTGAGAAAAGAAAAGCTTTATGCAAGGAATGCAAGAAAACTGGGGCAACATATCTGTCTCTCCACAGCTGGGAAGTGGGTCAAGCTTTTATGACATTTCTAACTATCCAGGTGTTCAGTACAACAGTCTGCCAGATGGTGGTGGAACAATTAGGAGGTAAACACCTTTTCCCCCATTGTGCATGCCTGGGATACGTTGATTATTAATTTCGGCTCCCTCTGCAGCCATCATAATAACTCAAGCCGATGGTTAATCAGCTGAGCTGGCCCCCAGTTATAAAAATACCCAGGCCTGATGGTCCACTGGTGAATTCTACCAACATTTAAGGGAGAAAATTATACCAATTCTCTATAGACTTTTCAGAAAATAGGACCTGAGGAATACTTCCTAACTCAATCATCGGGACACCTTATATAATATCAAACCAGAGAAAGAATTAAAAAAATAAACTACAGATAATATATCTCCATGACATAGATACAAAATTCTGAACAAGAATGCTAGCAAAATCAAATCAACGATCTCTAAAAGAATTATACATATGATAAGGGGATTCATCTCAGGAACTATACAAACTGAGTCCCCATTTGAAAAACAATTAATGTAATCCATCACATTTCAACAGGTTAGAAGAAAAAAATTACATTATACCAATAGATGCATAAAAAGGCATTCAAAAACTCCAACATCATTTATGATAAAAACTCTTCATGAACTAGACATAGAAGTGAACCTTAATGAGAAAGCTATCGGCCGGCTGGTGGCTCACGCCTGTAATCTAGCACCCTGGGAGCTTTGAGCGGGGAATTGCTCAAGTCAGGAGTTTGAAAACAAGTCTGAGGAAGAGTGAGACCTGTCTGCTACTATACAATTAGAAATAGAATTAATTGCCAACTAACCTATATATAGAAAAAATTAGCTGCATGGTGTGCATGCCTGTAGCCCAGCATCAGGAGGCGAGCAGCAGGATCATGAGCCCAGGATTTGAGTTGCTGTGAGCGAGGCTGACGCCATGGCCACCACTCTAGCCTGGGCAACAAAGCGAGACACTGTCTCAAAAAAAAAAAAAAAGCATATCTACCAAAAACTACAGCTACCCTAACTAATGGTGAAAACCCTGAGTTTTCCTTAAGATCAGGAAAAAGACAAAAGATGTCCCCTTCTTGGCACTCCTTTTTGAACATCATACTGAGACGATCTGTAATGCAAAAGACCAGAAAAGGAGAATAAACGGTGTACTAATTGGAGAGGAAGAAAAAAATCCTGTCTGTGTTTTGAAATGATTGATTGTCCTGTAAAAAAGCTGAAAAAATGACAAAAACCTCTGATCTAGAAGCTGATATAGAATACATGTGCTTAAACGTTAATGCACAAAACCAGGTGCTTCGTTATATATTACAACAAGTGGAATTTGAATTTTAAACCAATTGCATTACATTGGACCCCCAAAGTAAAGTTATAGCGTATAAGTCTAACAAATATAACAAGATCGGAAGAAAATACAATACTGGATGGAGATAGTCATGTTCCTGGCTCCTGTGGGGTCTTAGCCATAAACTCTTGTCCTAACTAAGATTTCCCTATGTTTCTTCTAGTAGTTTATGTCAGGTCTTAATTTTAAATGTCTTTAATCACCTGAGTTTATTTTGTAATAGTGAGAACAGCATCAGTTTCATTCTCTGCTAGATTACCCAGCATTTCCCAGCACCATTATTGACAAGATTACCGTCTCCAAATGTTTCTGACAGCTTTTGAGATAGTTGGCTGTGATACGTGATTATTCTGGTTCTTCTTTCTGTTCCACTGATCTTTGTGTCGTACCCTTTTTTCTTGCTGATTTTCCTGAGTTCTAAATAGATTCTACTCATCAGCCCATTATCGTATGTGTAGCTTGCGAAAATTTTCTCCCATTCTGTGGGTTGTCTGTTTGCTCTCTTGACAGTTTCTTTGGCTGTGCAGAAGCTTTTTAATTTGATCAGGTCCCATTTATTTTTTGTTGCTGCTGTGATTGCCTTTGGGGTCGTCTTCATAAATTCTTTGCCTAGGCCAATGTTTAGAAGAGTATTTCCAACATTTTGGAATTGATCTAGGATTCTAATAGTTTCACACCTAAGGATTCTAGGATTCACATCTAGGATTCTAATAGTTTCACACCTAAGGTTCAAGTCTGTTACCCAGCGTGAGTTGATTTTTGTGAGAGGCATTTTCATACTGTAAATAATAAAGAACAAAAACTAAATCGCAGGGCATAATACTAGGGGAAAAGTTACCAGGTTCAAACACTAAAGGGAAGCTATTAGGGCTCATTTCTCCTGCCCACAGTAGCTGGCCCTTTTTGTTAAAATTATCCCTTCTAGCCCAGAAATCTGGAGGAAAAAGTGATGTCACATGAGCTCATGCACGCTCTGTGTGATCTGTGTAGCAGCACCGGGCGCATGAGCCAATTCCTGCCTCTTTTTATCCAGCACGCTGCGACTTTTTGCCCCAGAACTTCTCAGCATCCCCTTTAGCCACCAAGACCTGCGGACCAAAATTTACGCATGCGCCTTTCAGGGCTTGCAGAGCCCACCTCTCCCTGACAAGTCTCCGCGTCTCACCCAATCAGAGGAAGCCAAGGCTCTCCAAGACTTCGTGACACCCGACTTCCCGTAGTTTATCACCGCCAGCGTCACGTGCTCCCACCACACTCTTCCCACCCTCCCTCGCCGAGGCACCACCCTTCAGCTGGCGCTCGCTGATTGGCCACCACTCGCGCGGTCTCCTGGGTGACGGGAACGCCGTAGCCTTCGTGGAGGAGACCGGGTGCGCCTGCGCATTTCCTAGATCGCACGGCTGCTCGCGCCTTGAGATGAAGGTAAATAACTTACAAATCCCCGGGGGCGGGAAGGTACGACCACTGTCCCTTCCCCCAGCCCGCGGAGGGTGGCTTTGAAAAGAGGGTCTGTGCCCCTCTCCTTCCTCCCGAGCGCGTGAGGGGCTGGCCAGAGAGCGGCCGAGCTGGAGAGCCGGGCGGAGCCGAGGGACACGGCGGAAGAAGACAGGAGAGGGCGGAGAGGCAGGCCTCAGGTTTCTGGGGCCGCCGGCGGGGGAAGAGGCGCCCCGCCACGGCCTCAAGGCACCGAACTTCGCACGCGCAAGGAACGGGTCGTGTGGCCCCTTTTCTTGGGTCGTGGTTAAGCTGACTGGGTCGGTGTCACGAGCTGCCTCCCGTCTCTGGGCTCCACCCTCGGCAAGCCGTGCAACTTGCCCACCGTCCTAAAAAGAATGAAAGACATCCGAAAGAACCATTTCAGATTGTATTGCCCGTGACTGGTCCAATTTACAGGTCACTGGTAGCGAGTGTACGTTATTCAGGGAGAAACCTGCACACGCAGGGGCGCCCACGCGCGTCCTGTGCGCGCTCGGTTTCTGGGCGCGGGCGTCTCCTGAGCCGCGCCGCCCCCTTGCGCGCCGCCGGCCGGGGATTCGAGGGCTCACTCCTACAGTTATTTTAGACGCACTAGTGCTTCTTTGTGGCTGTAAGTGTGAAAATTCGAATTGACAGACCGCTAGTCATAACTCACATTTGTAAAGCTCTTCACAATTTTTGAAGTATTAGAAGTGAGGAGATATTATTCTTGATTTACACTTGAGAATTTTATGCTTGGTGCAATTTAGGTGACTTAAAGCCCTACAAGTAATAAGCAGCAAACAAAATTTAAATCTTTGTAGGAGGGGATGGCTGGCTGTCTTCCTGCCTGGGTTGGATACTTTTTTTATAAAATAAAAATTTTAAAAGTTTAAATCTTGGTTTTATGCTTGTGACGCTAGCACTTTTTCCTCTGCACTGTATATATGTGAAGCATTTGTAGAGCTCTATTGAAGAAGAATATGTAAGATCGTGCCATAAAGGTAATGAAATTCAAGTTTAAGGACTTTTCATTTGCATGAAGTGGTTCCAGAGTGATGTGGTCGGAAAATTGCAAAAGTAAAATACTTTTAAATATTCATTCTTCTTGATGAGTGTCTTCATGCTCTACAAATCTGAATGCACCCATGATTATAGCATACACCTGTTTTCAGTAGAGATGACTTTCTTCCTTCGCATATGAAATGCTCATTGATTGGTGGTTAATTTTGAGCATTGGGAGAGTTTTGTGTTGCCACTCAGACCGTCAAGTCTCTTGTAATAGTATCTAAACTTCATACGTAGGTATTGGCATCATTGTTTAAAATTTAGCCTAATGTTAAAAACTAAATTTTTTTCTCAGAAGCTCATGTTCCTAGACGTTCTAGATCACCACTGTCTGATATAAATATGTGAGCCAATTTCCAATTTTTAGTAGCTATTAAAAATTTTTAAGAAACAGGTAAATTGATATTAACATATTTTACCCAGTATGCCAAAAATGTTATTTCAACATGTAATCAACACAAAAATTATCAGTGAATTAGTTTAACTTTATTTTTTTCAATCTTTGAAATATAATGTGTATTTTATATTTACAGCACAACTGAATTGGGATTACTCATGTTTTAAGTCTTCATTAGCTACATGTAGTTTGTGGCTTCCATATTGGATACCACAGTTCTTGATTGTCTAAATGAAAAAGATGTTTCAGATGTTACACAGTTCACACAATAGCGAAGTTAAACCCTTAATGATGAAGTAAATGTAACTAATGGTTTAGTAAAAGAAGAAAATAATTTTGAAGGAAGTAAAGATATTTTATATTTTTATCGTGGTTAAGATAGCGATTTTGTTAAATTTAATCCCCCCAAATCCATGCTGCAGATAATTAACTAAATTTAAATTTAAGTTACTTTAATCTTTAGCATCTATAAAACACTAAAATTATACATCCTTATAAAATGAACATTCAGAGACATTCAAAAGCCATAAAGTTTTATAATAAAGGCTCTTGAATATCTTGAAGTCCGTATGTTACCAACCAGTTGTGTGTGTTTGGTTGATTTTTTTTTTTTTTCTTTTTGTAGTGACAGGGTTTCACTATGTTGCCCAGGCTGGTCTCAAACTCGTGGCTTCAAGCTATCCTCCCACCTTGGCCTTCCAAAGTACTGAGATTACAGGCATGAGCCACTATACCTGGCTGGTTCATTTTGTTTTGTTAATTGTTAACGTCTTTTGGATAAATTCTAACATAAGCCCTTCACCCTCTTGAATCCTCTTGTTTTCATGATCATGTTTAGATATCTTTTCTGACCAACCCTTGATAGTATGTTTTGAAAATATAAAAAATTGTGTTTATTTTTTAGCGTGTTTTCTCAGTGCTTGAAAAGACTTGGCTTGGCACACCAATACAGTTTACCTGGCAAAAAACATCAGGAAACTACCTTGCAATAACAGGGTAAGAAACCAGTGAATATTTTAAGTAATGGTTGTATGTCCATATAACCACACCATCTATTCAACAGAAGTTCTTGGATAATAGTTGCATGGTAGGAAAAGGAATGTATTCATCTCCATTAATATCAAAGTTTATATAGAACCTTTTCCCTGGTAATAAATTTTCAGATACAAATTATGAAACTATCAGGAGAGAATACTAAATTACTTGAGTGGTAGCTTTATATACGTAGATAAATAAAAGACACATTTAAATCATATCTTTATATTCTAATTGCTTTTAGAGCTGATTATATTGTGAAAATCTTTGATCGCCATGGTCAAAAAAGAAGTGAAATTAGCTTACCTGGGTAAGTAAAGTAGATCAAAAACTTTTCAAATTTTGTTGCTTAAAAGATAAAATAAAGTACTATCTTAAATTATAATCAAATAGAATTTTGTAACTTACATATAACACATATCTCCTCTTTTGCTTCTTATAATTTCAAAGGGATTTGTTTTATTATGCCACAAATAGTTATGAAATATGTAGATATATACCATATGAATTAGTTTATATCTATAAATACCCATATATTCACAGGGAAACTTTAAGGCAGAATTATAAATGAGTCCATATGAAAGAATTCTTATTTAATTATAAACAAGCCTTAGTGTACAGGCAGATAAGGAAAGCCTATATATATCTACTTTACTATTTCCTCTCTAATAACTTGTTGGAAAATACTTTCTACATCCTTCTTAAAGGATAAAGAGTTTATTTTTTTCCATTTTCATGAACTCATTCTAGATAACACGAAGCATAATTTAAACATTTTTTTTTTTTTTGAGACAGTCTCACTTTGTTGCCCAGGCTAGAGTGAGTGCCATGGCGTCAGCCTAGCTCACAGCAACCTCAAACTCCTGGGCTCAAGCAATCCTGCTGCCTCAGCTTCCCGAGTAGCTGGGATTACAGGCATGCGCCACCGTGCCCGGCTAATTTTTTTTTTCTATATATATTAGTTGGCCAATTAACTTCTTTCTATTTATAGTAGAGATGGAGTCTCGCTCTTGATCAGGCTGGTTTTGAACTCCTGACCTCGAGCAATCCACCCTCTTCGGCCTCCCAGAGTGCTAGGATTACAGGCGTGAGCCACCGCGCCCGGCTGATTTAAACATTTTTAATAATTCAATATCATTACCTGTATTAGTTATTCTACTGATAGTCTTGGTGGTTATTATTAATAAGATGTGTAGACTCTGTCATCTAAATGGCCTTATGCTGCTGTGTATTTTAAATTCATGTTTGTTTTCTGTACTTCGTTGATCATTCTTGCAAATCAAGTTGTTTTACTTTCAGTCTCTAACAGCCTTTCCCAGCTCCATTAGGTGTACCACCCACCTAATGTCATGATTTTCCATTTTCTGTAGATCTTAATTGTTGCTTCTGGTTTCTATATTCTCAGAAACAGAAGTCAAAATAATTATACGTAAAATAAAACAAAAAGTTATTCAGTAAAAAACTTATTTGAGTAAATTGCACACACTTTATTGCATGATCTCTATGACATCTACTTCAGTTATGTAATGGCCTCATTTCTTCTGAATTCTTTTGCTATATTTACAATAGTTGAATTTTGACTGACAAAATGCTGTTATGTATTCAGTCTCTAATGGCAGATGGTTGTGTTGTTTTGTTTTATTTTATGAGATAGGGTCTCTGTCACCTGGCTGGAGTGCAGTGATGCGATCATAGCTCGCTGCATACTCAAACTCCTGGGCTCAAGCAGTCCTTTGGCCTCAGGCCTCCCAAGTAGCTGGGACTACAGGTGCGGGCCATCTGACTAATTTTTCTTATGTTTTTGTAGAGATGGGGTCTAACTATGTTGCCCAGACTCATCAAACTCCTGGCCTTAAGCGATTCTCCCAACTCCCAAAGTGCTAGGATTATAGGTATGAGCCATCACGCCTGGCCTGTAACTGGCAGATGATTTCATCAACATTTGAAAGCTTCTCTCTTCTATACCCAAATCTCTGAGATCACATAACACATTGTAACAGTTTGAAAAATAAAATAATTGAGACTAACTCCTAATTATCTTAAGTGTAAGTCAAAGTATGGTTGGCCAATACTCAAGAAGAAAGAGTCTCAAAATGAAAAATAGCATCACGAAGAAAGTTCAATCTTTTAAGGATTTAAAAAATTTTAAAGTTTATAATAAACATTTTGGAATAAGGTTAAATAGTAAGAACCATGTTAAATAGAGCATTCCTGGCGGGCGCTGTGGCTCACGCCTGTAATCCTAGCTCTTGGGAGGCCGAGGCGGGCGGATTGCTCGAGGTCAGGAGTTCAAAACCAGCCTGGGCAAGAGCGAGACCCGTCTCTACTATAAATAGAAAGAAATTAATTGGCCAACTGATATATATATAAAAAAATTAGCTGGGCATGGTGGCGCAGCCTGTAGTCCCAGCTACTCGGGAGGCTGAGCAGGAGGATTGCTCGAGCCCAGGAGTTTGAGGTTGCTGTGAGCTAGGCTGACGCCATGGCACTCACTCTAGCCTGGGCAACAAAGCGAGACTCTGTCTCAAAAAAAAAAAAAAAAAATAGAGCATTTCCTATTTATAGCTATGTTGTTACTTTAATTGACCACCCTTGTTCCATCAAAATATAAAATGAAAATAACATTGTTGGTTGGTTGGTTTGTTTTTTGAGACAAAGTCTCACTTTCTGGCCCTGGCTAGAGTACATTGGCATCATCATAACTCACAGCAACCTCAAACTTCTGGGCTCAAGCAATCCTGCCTCAGCCTCCCAAGTAGCTGGGACTACAGGTGTGCGCCACTGCACCCAGCTAATTTTTGTATTTTTTTTTTTAGTAGAGACAGGTCTCACTCTTGCTCAAGCTGGTCTTGAACTCCTAAGCTCAAGCTGTCCTGCTGCGGCCTCCCACGGTGCTAGAATTACAGGTGTGAGTTACCGCACCTGGCCAAAAATAACATTTTTTATTTACCAGTTTAGTATTCAGTCTTTCCATTGTTTTCTATCCTACATCTACCCAGCCTTCATCAGGTTTTTGTTTTGTTTTGTTCTGTTTTTTGAGACAGAGTCTTGTCTCCCTGGCTGGAGTGCAGTGGCATCATCATAGCTCACTGCAACCTCAAACTCCTGGACACAATCAATCCTCCTGCCTAGCCTCCCAAGTAGCTGGAACTACAGATGGGCACCACCAAGCTCAGCTAATTTTTCACTTTTTTGTAGAGACAAGATCTGGATATTGCCTAGGCTGGTCTCGAACTACTGGCCTCAAGTGATCCTCTCACCTGGGCCTCCCAAAGTGGTAGGATTATAGGCATGAACTATGTAGCCAGCCTTGTAATCAGTTTTTATAGTCAGTATAGTCAAAGATATCTAGCTATAATTTTGTTTCTTATGAGTACCTTCTTTTCCTCTCTGTAAGTCTGAAATAACCTTTCAAAACTTGATTGCACCAGTTACCTCTTGATTGTAGTTGTGATTTGGTTGTAGATGTTCTTGATGGGTTTGTTTTATCAAAAAGCTAGGTTCTTTATAGGATTCAAGAAAATATGCTAACAAGTATATATTTAATATAGCATATGAAAATGGTATTAAAAATAGAATTTAAAATTTCACCATCACCTCAACAACAAAAAATTGAAGTTAGTATTACCCAAGGGTGAATAGTGAATTGTATTTCTCATTTTGAGAGTTAATTATCCAAAATAGATTGAATAGTCTTGTTATATACAAAAACCACAAAGAGATGAATATTTAAGTTTCTCTCCTATTTTTAAAAACTGGTATAATGATGTTTTGCTCTCTTTTTAAAAAGTAACTGTGTTGCCATGGATTGGGATAAACATGGAGATATCCTAGCAGTGATTGCTGAGAAATCCAGTTGCGTTTATCTGTGGGATGCCAACACAAATAAAACCAGCCAGTTAGACAGTGGTATGAGGTAAGCATAACTTTGTTTTTTAGAACTTCACTTAGAAACATTATTTGTAGGTTAGATGCTAACAGTTCTTATACTACTTTCATTTTAAAGATATATCAATGAGTTATTATATATAAAAGAAAGTTTATTATACATAATCCTAATCTCTCATTAAAATGAAGTTGTTATAATTGTGAAATATCAATAGCTTCAAAAAGTTGCTTTCAATGGAACAGACTAAGAAGTTCAGTGATGAGACAATATACATGGGAAAATCTGGAAATGGGATTGATTGTAGGGCATGGCTGGATCTAAGAGTTCTAATGATACAATCAAGACTGTCTCCATCTCTTGACTCTTCTTTTCTCTGTATTGACTTCATTTTAAGACTCTCACCATGGCTACTGGCAGCTATTGGCTTATATCATTGTTCACAGCAAGTCATGCCTGAGGAAAGAACATGACCTTTTATATCATCAGTGCCCATTCAGTTCCTTAAAAAGTCTCCAAGTGGAGTATGTAGGACCATGGGATTGTTAGTCCCCGGTGAAGGGTGGAGCACTTCCCAAGTAGAAAAAAACATGGGCAGACAGAATAAATTACAGACCTCTGCTCAGATAGAAACCATTTTACCTTATGGAAAAGAAAACCTTGTCAGTATTTACAACTAAAACATTGTCACTTTGACCTTAGACAAGTTGCTTAACTTTTCTTTAAGCCTCAATTTCTTCATCTATATGAAATGAATATAATAATGTCTGCATCATGGCTTCATGTGGCCTGCAGGTGGGCAGGAAGAGATCTCCTGCCCATAAGATCTCCTACACCATAAGATTATTTGCTAAGGCATAACTGAACCCAGATGTAGCAAGGTGGCCATGCAGACATAACCTAGTGCACTGTCGTTGACCCTCTAAAGTGACTCTCAGGCCACATAGCTGCAGAAGAAACTGCCCAACATAAAGTCTTCCTAGATATAAGAACCTTCATTTCTTGCTAGATCCTTTTACACTTTGGGTTTATGTCACTAGGCAGGAAGACTTTACACACTCTGTGCTTCCATTCAAGGCAGTATTTATAAATGTCAAATACTGATTCTTGAACCAAATTCAGCATCAGTGAGACCACATTCTCACTGAAAAAAAAAAAATGCATAGTTAATCCCCAGGTGTTTCTAACTGGTAATCTCTGCTTCCAGCTGTCTATCTTCCCACAGAGTCCATTTTCCCACATCATGTTAGGATTGTTGTGATGTTTAAATGCATGTCATGGTCAGTCATGAAATGTAACACTTGAGTAAATGATAGATGATGTTGTAATTGTCATTAAGATAAAATTAGTGATATTTTATTGATATTAATAATTAATGGCTAAAGGACAATTATGTATACAAAGGCATGCATACCTGCTACTGTTTAAGGGTCAATGTATTATGCTAAGATAGTTAATAAAACTTTGAATATCCGTTTTTTAAAAATATTTTTATTTTGCAAACTAAAATGCTCTTAAACAATTTAGATTTCATTTATAAATTTATCCTGAATTGATTGTTGAGCACTTCTAATACCTTAAATAGTGCACAAAAATCTAAATATGATTATTACAAAACTTACAATGGTGCCACTTAAATAAAAATATTAACTTAGTGAGTTTACTTCCTTTCTTCATTTTTACTGTAGGTTTTTCTACCATTTTTGGTTTATAGCAGTATTTGTTCTGATCCTGCCTATGATCACAGGAGTGATCATTTAGTTATGTAACTGGAAATCAGCAGTCTTTCCAGGGAACACCACATATATAACATCTGGTTCCTCAATCAGGTCATTCTTGGTTGAATCACAAGACATGGTTGCTTCTCCCAAGGCAATTCAGACCTGAGTATTAGTCATACTACTCAGCCTCTTTTTAAATTGACCTTCAGTTGTAGTATTAGACTCTTCTAAGCCCATGCCTTTCACATAGGTTGCAATTTTTTGTAGCCTGTACATCTCCCTAGAATGATGTATTCTGTATGTTTTGGTTGGCCAAAGATACATGTGATTATTTATTATACATTGGCCTGATCTGTTAGCTTTTTTGGAAACTTATGTATGCTTTAGTATCTTATTGTAATTTGTAGGGTCTTCTAGAGGCCTTATCTCCTAAGAGGGATGGAGTCTGTTGAGTTAGCTCTTCTTTTGAGGACATTTGGTTACTTGATCTTCTTGGAATGTACTGTTAACCCTCTTTCTGTTGGTTGGTGTGTGACTGTTAGTGATGATAAACTACTGAATGCTCTAATGCTACTCTTATTATATATGACCACTGTTGCTGGTCAGACATTGTTCTTGTTGTACAGTTCCTCTTTTCTTTGGTACTATTTAGCTCATGCACAATTCTTTTTATTGATATTTTCTGAGAAGCAGACTCCAAGAAAGGATTAAATGTATAAGAGATTTATTACCGGAAATGCCTGTGAAGGAAAACAGAAGGGGGAAGGAGAAGAGATTGGAAGAGCTGTCGGATCCCAGAGTGTATCTGTCCCTTAGGAAAGAGAGAAAGAAAGAGGAAAGATTGGGTAGAAACATCTTAAACCATAGCACAGTTCTAATTAAGATAGTTCAGCTAGGCCTGTGCGGAGGCTGTTAGCCAAAGTTACCTGTGTTCTGCCCAGGAATGGGCCTTCACAGTATCCTTGCCTTCCTCAGCCATTGGGAGTAGTTCCTGGAAGGGCCTGGCCCAGCTCATTGAGGTGATGGATTCTGATGCTTATCAGCTGGGCCTCTTGGTCAGTTACACTCTGTACAGATCTGAGAGGCACGTTATCATGGCTGCTACACCTACTTAAACAAGTAAAAAAGAAAACAATGCATATTTATCCTTTGTAAAATATGTACTTAATAGAAGAACCTAGAAGCCTGGTATGTTAATACTCCTTTACTAAAATTTTTAACTAAACATTTTATTATATTCACCTATTATTACAACTAAGCTTTCATATACTTTAAATTTCTCTTCCAATATCATCATGGTTTTACTGCCTTTCACAAACTTGTGTCAATTAAGTGTTATATTCGAGATTCACACGGCCACAGGACAGAGAGACAGAGTCACCGAGGCTGTAATTATCAAAAGGAGTTTTATTGTCTATCTTGAGCTAGGTTCCAAGCCCCCAGAGTGCCAGCGCAGTGGCCTCTTCTCTGGGCAGGGACCCTCCTATGTGTGTTAGTCCCCTTTTTATAACTTAGTTGTTTACACGCTGGTCATGCATCCGCCCCCACAGTGATTCTTACTTCAGCCTGCCCCTGATCGGCCCTAACCTGTTCCGGGTCCTAGCCCAGAGACTCAGAGGGTTTCCGCTCTCTTTGTCTTTTTCCTCTGCATCCCATAATATACTCATAATGCCTTGTGGTTAGCAAACAAGCAGTAAACAGAAGTTGGAAGGTGTCCATTGTCCTTATAGCCCAGTATCTTACAAAGTATGTAATTTTTAATCCTCAAATTCTTCTAATTTAAAGAGGAGGGCTCTTTAAGCTTACTCTTTTGTCCTTTTATTACTGCCCTCAACATTTTTGGAAGCAGTCTTTCTGAAAATAGTAGTATGGTCTGTCAGTGGTGCTCAAAGTTTAGCTGCATCACAACCACCTGGAGGGCTTATTATAACAAAGATAGCTGAGTGCCATCCCCAGAGTTTACTATCAGGTGGCTCACACCTGTAATCCCAGTGCTTTGGGAGGCTTAGGTGGGAGGTTGAGATTGCTCAAGATTGCTTGAGGCCAGGAGTTTGAGACCAGTCTGGGCAACATAGTGAGAACTCATCTGTAAAAAAAAAAAAACAATTAACTGGGTATGGTAGGTTGCCTGTAGTCCTAGCTACTCAGGAGGATCACTTGCATTCAGGAATTTGAGGCTGCAGTAAACTATGATCATACCACTCCATTCCAGCATGGGAGACAGAGTTAGACCCTGTCTCTGAGGGAGGAAAAGAAAAAAAAAACTATCATTAATAGACAAATTAATAAAGATCTCATAATCTCATGAGTCATCTCATGAAATTTGAGGTTTTATCATAAATGAATCGAAGTCTATATCCATTATACATTTGTATTTTGAGTCTAACTGGCCCTAAGATCATCTTATAGCATCTCTAAATGTCTTTAGCACTCAGTCTTTGTAGCATTAAGTTGTAATTTTGTGCTTCACCTTCCAAGTAGATGTTAAAGTTATTCATGAAGTACTTTTTTAAAGGACTATTTTGAGGTTATGATTGTAAATTGTTGAGTAATTTATATCTTAATGTTACAGGGATCAAATGTCTTTCCTTCTTTGGTCAAAAATTGGAAGTTTCCTGGCTGTTGGAACTATTAAAGGAAATTTGCTTATATATAATCGTCAGACATCTCGAAAGATTCCTGTCCTTGGTAGGTGATAGCTGGAAACACTGCTAAATATTTAAGATGCTTTACCTAAATGTAAATTCTGCTGTCTTGGATTTTCCTGATATTACAAGGGAACTTTTGTAGTATTACCACACCCCAACTGCCCCAAGTCTAACATCTAGCTAAACAAGAAGATCCCTCTTCATTGTTTGCTAAAAATTTACCAGGATAGGTAGAATAGATTGAGTTAAGGTAAGCCTATGCCTTTGGGCATCAGGACATTAATAGCATGGCTTCCATTTGTCCCTTTCTCACCCAGATTGTATTTCTGGAATAGCTCATTGATAATATGTGTTAATTTTACTTATTTTAGTTAATTTAGTTAATTTTAGTTTTAGTCTACGTAGTAGGTAGATCAAAATATTTGGTGACTGCTTGGATAGTATATATGCATATTCTTAATTTTAACCCCTCAGTCTTTTCAAACACTTGTTGAATCTAGATGTGGACTGTGAATTCTATTTGCCTAGGTATGCAGCTAGAGGGTGTATTGTTCCTTATGTAACTGTTTCAGCTCTTAGATTCCCTCAACCTCTGGTCAGTGGGCATCTGCCCTCTGAATACCCAAGAAGAAACATCAGTTCTTTTCAATCATTGCAACGTCATGCTTATGAATAGTGGAACTAGTGGGCTTAATTACATCCAGGTGGCCAGAAAAAATATAATTTACTGCTAATTAAACTCTCGAGATTGTGGCACCCACAGAATACTTGAGAAAGTGTCCTTCCATTAAGGACTTGTAAAAAATTGCAGATTATTTTTTACATATGTATATTTAATGTTAATTTTTATTGCTACAGCTAAACAGTGATGTCATTGAACTATTAATACTTGAAAAATTAGACTAAAATTTTTTAAATCTCAAAAATCAACTTCCCCCATATAAATTAGTTTGTCTGTTTGACTTCAGTAGGCGTTTTCTGTTTCCCATTTCATCTCCAAGTATATCCTACCAGTTAATTTAAAAGCCCAGAAGTTTTGACACTTGAAGTATAAGAGAATAATTTGATATTTATAGTTAATATGACTATTGATTCTGTTCATATTCTTATTTATTAACTATGTAAAAGGGGCCTGAAAAGATTCAAATTAATTATATATCCTAGGTCCCTTAGCTAAATATATAGCCACCTGAGTTAGTTGTGACTTGTGGCTCTGCTTTTTTTCCTCTTAACTTAAAGTCAAGCCATTCACTTTTGATAGCAGCTCATATTTGCATGATCTATCAGCACTTCATAGTAACTAAATATCTATTACTTTGTTTCTTTCATGTTACACTGATTTGTTTCCTTGAACTAGACTAGATACAGGCAGTTCTTACTTTGCGTGGTTCTGATGTGCAAGAATTTCAGTTATAACAGTTCAATTAAATAATGCCAGTCTCCCAGTAACACAGTTCAAATTTCAGTTACCATAGTAAATTATTAACTGTGGGTTAATATTTAATGAGTCAATATGCATTAAGTGCCCAGAACACTATATGTAGGCACACCATAGGTGTTAACTGTTACTATTGCTGATTAGGCTAACATGATTTCTGAGCACTGGAAGCAAAAGGGCTTTGTAGTATATGAGAAAAAAGAAGAGATTTTCTTCCTTTCTTGGGTAAGTTTGTCTTTGGCATCTTTCCACCTCTCTTGATAGTCTTTTTTCCCTTCCTAAAGTAGATTTCTTTGGACACCCAAATCCCTTAATCTATGATCAGCAAATCTCTATATTCCCAGTCTCTACTCTGAATATTCCTTTCACTTTTATACTTTTATAACTTTAATACTTACTCAACATCTTCAATGAGAGGTCTAATAAACACTTCAAATTTAATCTCTAAAACTCTCTTGACCAATAGCTTTCTCTTTTACCATTAATAACATCCCATACTTCCAAATCTTTAATGTCATACTTTAGTGTCATCCTTGACTCTTCTCTTTCTTATACTCTCCATATGTAGTTTGTCTGAAAATCATATACACTCTACCTCCAAATATCTCCAGAATCCAGCCTGTCTCATTACCTCAACTGCTACCACCATGGTGCATTCATTTTCACATTTTCCACTCGAATTTCTGCAGTCTCCTCTTAACTAGTCTCCCTGCTACAACTCTCATCCCACTATAGAATATTCTCAATCTACAGGCCAGAAAGAGCCCTCTGCTCAGAACTCTTCAATGACTTTCCATCTCACCAGAATCAACGCCAAAGGCCTTACAGTGGTCCACCAACCCTCCATGATCTGGCCTCTGTAACCTCTCTTATCCCTCCCCTCCCCTCCCCTCCCTTCCCTTCCCCTCCCACAGCCATACTGTCCTTGTTGAGCCTCTAACACCATGGAAACACTTGCCTCAAGGTCCACTCACATAACCATTTATTTAATACCTGCTTTCTGAATAGGTACTATATTAGGTTCTATAGATGGTACAAAGAATAAAATGAGCAAGAACAACTAAAATAGCTCACAGTTATATATCACTTCCTGTGTGTCTGGTACTCTTGTAAGTGTGTTCATTTATTTGATCCTCAACCCTATGAGATAGGTCCTACTATTATCCCTAGTTTATAGATGAAGTAAGGAATAGAAAGGTTAAGTAATTTACCCAAGGTTTGCTGTAAGTAGTAGAGCTAAGATTCAAAGTGAGGCGGTCTGGCTCTAGAATCTGTACACTTATCCATTCTTATTAATACAGATAACCTTGGGACTCTCAGATTTCTCTATCTCAATACCTTCACAAATGCCCAGTGTCAAGCATGTGATTTTCCCCCAAAAAATGTAGTTTTTGCACTAATTGGAATCCTCAGTGAAAAAGCTTTATGGCCATGTGTGGTGGTTCATACCTATAATCCCAGCACTTTGGGAGGCTGAGGCAGGAGGATCACTTGAGGCCAGGAGTTTGAGACCAGCATGGGCAACATAGCGACACCACATCTCTACAAAAAGTAGAAAAAATCACCTGGGCGTGGTGGTGTGCTCCTGTAGCCCCAGCTACTTGGGAGGCTGAGGCAGGAGGATTGCTTGAGCCTAGGAGTGCAAAATTGCAGTGAGCTATGATGACACCACTATACTATAGCCTGGGCAACAGAGCAAGACCCTGTCTCAAAAAAAAAAAGCTTCCTGATACTTAGTGGTTATCTAATATTACTCACTAAATTATTCAGTTCTTACCACAAGTCTCACTAGGGTACATTCATGCTTGCACATCAGTATTATCACAAATTATTATGTTTTTTATACATAAATAGTTGCGACTATGAATGTTAAATCTGCTATGTCAAAGGTCTGTCACACTGTGAAGCTGAATATAAATAAAGTTAACTTCATTGCTTTGGAATTTACTTCTCTTAAGACATTATGATTACAGATTTGGTTATAGTAAACAGACAAACCTTGTCAGAGAGCAGAACATCTTTTTATGTTAGGGCCTGTGCTTATATTCACATAAAAAATTGGAAAATAGTATTGCCCTTTTAAACCATTATCTTTATTGACAACTTGGTAATAAACTATTTTAAGTAAAGTTGTTTAGATGCTAACTGCTTTGATGAGATTCTCAATTAGTTATCTGTTTAATCCCATGATATGTTACCTAAACTTTCAGATTGGCATCACAAATTTTTTATTTTTATTTTTTAAAGAAATAAATTTTGAAATTTTGTGTCTGTGCAAAAATCATCTCTCTTTCAGGAAAACATACTAAGAGAATCACATGTGGATGTTGGAATGCAGAAAATCTGCTTGCTTTAGGTGGTGAAGATAAAATGATTACAGTTAGTAATCAAGAAGGTGACACGATAAGACAGGTAACATGGTAATATCTCTTTGGTCTGTTATATTCAAATTTTCCTCCAAAATAGTTTGTCTGTCAAACTAATCTATAAAATTTTAAAATCTCTATGTGAGATAAGTACACAATAACTTCATATTCCAAGCATCAGAAGCCTTTCTCTTTATGTATTAGAACATTTTTCTTTAATATGAAGACATTATCCATATACCCATCTTTGTATATATCTCTTTGGTATTAGCATGGATTATCAGCTCTATGATTATTTTTGGACAGTATATTTGTGAAATAACTCTTATATATGTATAACTTATTAACATATAGTTAATAATTTGTAAGTCCTGGACTCAGAGTCAGGTCTGCCTGATTCTAAAGCCCATACCTTTAACTGATTTGTTAAATTGGTTCCAAAATAATCCTAATTGGATGAATTTTAAGATTAAATTTTACTGATATTCAGATTGAATAGATTTTCAGAAGTTCCCTCCTGAAGGGAATTTGTTTTGCCATTAGCTGCATAAACTCACCAATGGGAAAATTTCACTTTGGATTACTGGTAATGATTTAGTATTGCTAGAGTAATATTGACTAACACATTCTTTGAGTACCTGCTGGGAACACAGCACTGTGCTATATACTGTAGGAGGAATATGAAATGTGGCTCTGTATTTGTCATCTATTGCTACATAACAAATTATCTCAAAATGTAGCAGCTTAAAATGACATTTACCATTTCATAGTTTTTGTGGATAAAGAATCCAGTTGCAGCTTATCTGAGTGCCTCTGCCTCAAGGTCTCTCTCAAGGCTGCAGTCATGTTGTTAGATAGGGCTGCAGTCTCATCTGAAGGCTTGACTGGGGGGAAATCTGCTTCTTCTAGGCTCAATCACATGGTTGTTGACAGGATTCAACTTCTTACAGGTTGTCAGACTTAGGGTTTTAGTTTCTCTGTAGCTATTCACCAGAAGCCTTCCTCATTTCCATGCCACATGGGTCTCTCCATAGAGTGCTTCACAACATACCATCTGGCAAGAGAATGAAAGCAGTCATTCAAGACTTAAGCCAAAGTCTCTTTATAACCTAAATTAGAATCCCTTTTGCCATATTTTGTCCTTTAGAAATGAGTTACTAGGTCCACCCCATACTCAGAGGGACAGAGAAGGAATTACACAGGCATAAAACCAGGTGGTAGGCTATCTTAGAGGCTACTGATCATAGGGCTCTACTCTTAAGAAGACATTACTGATCATTATAAAACACATGGCCTTATATGATTGGCAAATTTTGTGGTACAGCTTACAAATACTATAGCATAGGGAGATGGAGGATATCAGTGAAGGCTAAATTGTGAATCTTTAAAAGATAGAAGGCTGTCTGAATCAGTTGGTATAGGCTAAACTGTTGCAACAGAGAGACTCATAGGGGCTCTAAGAATACAATAGTTTGGGTGCCCCCGCTCCCCCCACCCCTGCTTTCTCTTGTAACAATAGTGAGGTAGACAGGTCATCAAGGTACCTCTGCTTCACAGAGTTGTACAGAGTCCTAGTTTCCTTCCATCTTACTACTCTGCCATTTCCTAGGGTATAGTGCTCTCACATCTGCATTTCAGCCCAGGAAAGGAAAAAAGAGAAGTGGAATGTAAGAAATTGGTAATGGTTGTGACTTGGAAGATGCATTTATTATTTCCATTCATATCATATGACTAGCATATAGTCATATGGTTACCCTAACTGCTGCAAATTTAGTCTACCTGGATGACCATGTGCTCTGCTAAAACTTATTTTAGTAGGTAATACAAAGCATTTAGCAGTCTCTGTCAGTCCAAGCAAAAGAGCATGAACAAAGATAAAAGGAAAAACTTATAGCTTGTTCATGGCTTGTTCAAGCCTGGCCTAATTGAAGGTATAGGCTTTGATCGAGAGTCTATAGAAAATAGTGCTGAAGAAGGAAGTTGGTTCCTGTATCTGGAAAGCTTTCAAAGTTAGGCAGAAGTAAGTCACTCTACCATTGTGAGCAGAACCCTAGCATGATTAAAGTGGTTCTTAAGGAAGATTAATCTGGCATCATAAAAAATTGTTGACTATGACAGTTTCTAGAAACCTTATACTTTCATGGGTTTTTTGGTTTGTTTTGGTTTTTTACCTAAGGAACTTGTAAAACATTAGAAATCCTATACTTTTAATCACTCTGTTTTCAATGTCTTTTAAAAATAGAATGATAGATATACAGTACAAATGGTATTACTCCCCACTCTTGTGTCTATATCAGATATCACCAATGATACTGAATTATTTCCCCCCCCCACTGAATCAAGATATGGCATTCGAATATTTTTTCCACATAGCATCCCAGAAAGTCACTACCAGTCTGCCATTTTTCACCTACAAAATAACTACCGTGTTTCCCCGAAAATAAAACCTACCCATAAAATAAGCCCTAGCAGGATTTCTAAGCATTTGCACAAGGTAAGCCCTACCCCTATAAGACCTAGTGATGGGCGTGGCTACGCAGGGCATCTGCACAACCCATGCATTTTGTTGCTGAGCGATAAAGAAGACGACCTTCTCATCTGCCCCATCGTGACAGCTACTACCCCAGAGGTGACTGGAAAGGTGCGGGCAGCCCCACCAACAAGGTTGGCTTCCCCTGTTAGGTCCCGGCCATTGTGCATGCTGCAAGCTGAGGCTTCCAGGAGAAAATAACATATCTCCTGAAAATAAGCCCTAGGGTGTCTGTCTTCTTAAGGAAAAATATAAGACCCTGTCTTATTTTCGGGAAAACACAGTATTAACATTTCCTATTTCTAATCCTTAAGAAGTCTGCTTCCAAAATTAGACATTCTACTTAAGTCTTCATGTAATAAGCAAAGTGTACATTATAAGCATTGCTTCATTTGCTATTTTCTCTCAGTTGTTTTAATTTTGGTATTCTACAGATCACTGCAATGTTACTTGTATGAATTTATTTTTATTTATCCTGCTCAGGATTTGTCTTGCTTCCTGAATCTGGAAATTGCTGCCTTCTGTCAATTCAGGAAAATTCTTAGTCATTATTATCTCTTTGAATATTACCTCTTGTCTTTTCTATTCTGTTTATCTAGAGTATCTATTAAATAAATGTTGGACCTTCTCATGTCTCCTTATCTCTCGGTCATAGATTCTATCTTTTGCCACTCTGCAACCTTTTGGATAATTTTCTCAGATTAGTTTATGTATACTATCTTCACATTTGTCTAATTGTCTGTCTTTCCTGTTGAGTTTTTAAATTTTTATTTTATTTTATTTTTTATTTATTTATTTTTGAGACAGATTCTCACTCTGTTGCCTAGGCTAGAGTGCCGTGGTGTCAGCCTAGCTCACAGCAACCTCAAACTCCTGGGCTCAAGCAATCCGTCTGCCTCAGCCTCCCAAGTAGCTGGGACTACAGGCATGTGCCACTATGCCCTGCTAGTTTTTTTCTATTTTTTTTAGTAGAGACGGGTCTCGTTCTTGCTCAGCTGGTCTCGAACTCCTGAGCTCAAGCAGTCCTCCTGCCTCAGCCTCACAGAGTGCTAGGATTACAGGCATCAGCCACCGTACCCAACAATTTTTATTTTCATTTATTTATTTTTTAGAGATAGAGTCTTACTCTGTCACCCAGGCTGGAATGCAGTGGCACAAGCATAGCTCACTGCAGCCTTGAACTCCTAGGTTCAAGTGCTCCTACTGCCTCAACATCTTGAGTTAGCTGGGACTACAGGTACACTCCACTATGCCTGGCTTTTTTTTTTTTTTTTTTTTGAGACAGGCTCTCACTATGGTTGCCCAGGCTTCTCTTAAATTCTTGGCCTCAAGCAGTCCTCCCACCTCAGCCTCCCAAAGTACTGGGAGAGTTTATTTTAATGACTCTATTTTTTATTTTTAGAAAGTACTTTGTAGTTCTTTTAAAAATCTACCTGAAATACTTGAATAGATAGATCTTACAAAAATATATAAAAATGGTGCTCATACATATGGGAAACAATATCAAACTTATTCATAATTAAGGAACTACAAATTAAATCCACACTGAAGCACCATTTCTCACCTATCAGACTGGCAAAAATTATATACAATATGACAACATATTCTGCTGGTGAAACTAGGTAAAATTGACATGCCCCTTCTGGGGGGAAACTTGAAAGCAGCTAACCAAGCAATACTACTTTTTTAGGACTCTGCCCACCATATACACCTCTTACAATACAGCAGTACATATGCATTCAAAAAAATCTGCCTGGACTTTTTAAAAAAGTCTTTTCTCATATTTATGAATCATTTTATGTCTTTAGTCATTTTTAAAGTATTTATGTTATATTTCTCTTTTATATAATTCTCTTTAGATCTGCTGACTTCTGCTTTTAATGCATTATTTCTTTGTGAGTTTTGTATTTTGAATTCTAAGCCCACCTTGAGCAGGATTTATCTGTGGAAAATGTTTGCAACCTTGCTAGAAGCTCTGGATTTGTTTTTGCCAGATGCTGCAGAAATATTACAAGCCTGGATCTTTCTACGTTTTATGTTAATTCCTGACTTTGGGAGCTCCCAGACTATTCAAACATGTAAATTTGAACCTCATACCATATTGAGGATAGGAGGGAAGGTCTTTGATTAAATTCTTGAAATGAACTCTTTGTTTTTTTCTGACCTAGAGCTCAGGCTAAGACAAATGGGCTTCCTTATTGTCTCCCCTTACGAGCTACTCTGGATAGCTGTGTCATCAGTTACTGCACACACTGTGGTTTTAATTTTTATTTTTTTAGGGACAAGGTCTTGCTCTATCACCCAGGCTGGAATGCAGTGGCATCATCTTAGCTCACTGCAGCCTCAAACTCCTGGATTCAAGTGGTCCTCCTCCCTTAGCCTTCCAAGTGGCTAGGACTACAGGCACATGCCTGGCTAATTTTTCTTTTTATTTTATGTAGAGATGGGGTCTCACTATGTTGCCCAAGCTGGTCTCAATCTCCTGGCTTCAAGCAGTCCTACTGCCTTGGCCTTCCAAAGAGTTGGGATTACTGACATGAGCTACTACATCTGGCTTCACTCTATGTTTGATCTTTGCTGTGATAAACGCTGTAAATTTCCCTTTCCTTCTTTCAAGCTTTCTATTTCTTTAATAGGATATGTGTTCTGTTTCATCCAGAATTGCTAGATATTTGTGGCAGGATTTTTTTGGTTTAGTCCAACATTAGTCAGAAATAAAAGCAAGTTACCTGTTTTATTAATATTTAGAATGAATTTGAATGTTGGTTTTGTTCACAGTGATGGTATTTTTACCCCCATAGATATCAGTGAGATCAGAGCCGAGTAACATGCAGTTTTCCATGATGAGGACAGAAGACCGAAGCTCTGCTGCTGAAAGCACAGTAAGAATTCTAAATCAAATCTGTGCCCAAATAATTTTGGTAATTTTGTAGAATATACTATTTCTTTTTCTCAGATGACTCAGGTAATGATAAATAAATTGTGTTTGTTGTTTATTAAACCAAGATAGGGCTCAGCCTTTTAGGCCTAAGATTTGTTTTCTTTGCTGCTGACTACTTGATACCACAGCAAATGAGAACAGCTTTCTGTTATAGTTGGTGTTGCTCTTTTTATTCTTGTGGGAGTAGAAAAAATTGGGGTACCTTTAAGAACAGAAGTATTGATTTCTATTATCATTTTTAAATTTTTACTGTATCAATGTGGTGAAAAGAGCTCTCTGGAAGTTGTAGTTTTTGTTTCTTTAATACTTAGATGCATTTTCCCTGCCACATTTTAACATCCTGAAATCCAGATGATTTTCACAATCAACGTGAATATATTTAATGAGGTAATATTTCTTTATCTCCTAAAAAGATATGATTAAATTAATAGTGATTTACAATTGATAGCATTTTAGAATCAAGGAAATATATCAAAGTATCACCCTTAACAATCCCAAATAAGTAATATACTCTTTTCTCTCCCCAACACAATTATACCCTATACTGAGAATTACATTTAAATATTGATTTGCACAATCAATAGGGATACTAATTTAGGCACACTGCAGGTGATGGAAACAGTGAGGGTATAAAAAACCAAGATAAATTATCTACAAGGGTATAACCCTATAATCCCAGATGGCTCAAAAGCAGAATGGCTTCTCAGAATGGAAGACTCTTTATGGTCTGAATAGAAATTCATTTGCAATGGAACTTTTGGATTTACAATCTCATATGTACAGTACTCTAATGAGAGGTATAGAGAGTTTAAAAGGTTATTCCACAAAGGAATTTTAGCATATTTCAAAGGATATATTGAAGATATGTAAAGCCAAGGACCCATACCAGAATATATATTAGTAAATGCATTTTTTAGTGAGTCACATTAGTATACTAATTATAGTATTTAGCATATCTAAACCAAACTTGTTTTCATAAATATGGTTCAGCTGTTGGAATTGCTTACTGGTCTTTTCATGAAGTACTATGTAATTCATTTCACAATCTCCTAATCTTTTCTGGCAGATAAGTATGGTGCTTGGCAAAAGAAATTTGTGTCTTTTTAATCTGTATGATCCAGATAAGCCAACTGACTTGGAATTTCAGCAGCACTATGGAAGCATTGTCTGCTATAGTTGGTATGTATAAAAAGCTCATTACAGAAAGACATCTGTGTGTTTTTACCTACTAATTAATATTTGTCTGTAACATTTAATTTTATATATAACATTTTCTGAATTAGTATATGAAATTGCTTAGCAGATTATCTGACACAGAGTAGGCCCTTGATAAATTATATTCTATCTTGAAAGAATATATTCTTTAATTTTAAAGTACCTATTTATTGATCTTATTGCCAATAATAGTTAAACTCCGTGTTCTTTTTTTTTCTTTTTTTTTACCATATTGTCACCTTTGTTGCTGTAGGTGTGGTGATGGCTACATCGCGATTGGTTTTTCACGTGGAATTTTTGTGGTCATTTCTACTCATGTTCCAGAGGTTGGTCATGAGGTACTTCAAGGTCGTAACCATAGAGATAATCTAACTGGTATTGCAGTTTCACACACTCTTAACAAAGTTGCTACATGTGGAGATAACAGGTAAGTTATAGTCACATATTTCTAGGAAAGTTTATATAAAGAACACTCAAGAGAATCAACCAAACTTTGGTGGCTAATATGAATCTGACATTCATACTTTCTTGTATCCTAGAACATATTTACAATTGAATTTTTTTTCTTTTTTCTTTTCTTTTTTTTTTTTTTTTTTAATGGGACAGGGTCTTGCTCTGTCATCTAGGCTGAAGTGCAATGGCATGATCATAGCTCACTACACCCTTAAACTCCTGAGCTCAAGCGATCCTCCTGCCTCAGCCTCCCATGTAACCAGGACTACAGGTGCATGCCACCACACCCACCTAATATTTAAATTTTTTGTAGAGGCAGCATCTCACTATACTGCCCAGGCTGGTCTCAAACTCCTGGCCTCAAGTGATCCTCTTGCCTTGACCTCCCAAAGTGCTGGCATTAACAGGTGTAAGCCACCACACCCTGCAATTGAAAATTTCTAAGACTCCTTTACCACTCAGGTTATTCCTTTAACACTCAGGGAAAAAATGGATTAATAAAATTGAATATGCTTGAAACTCAATCTTAAATATAAGCAGTTCCAGGTAACATGGAGTAAGCACACTCCACTCTGTGTCTCTCTCTGAATACAGCTATAAAACCTGGGCAGAATGCCTGGAGCAGCTAATTAAGGATTCTGAGAAGTAAACAGTAGCAGGAAGATTGGAGAAGACAGAATTCAAAGTGCCACCTAACTAGCAGGGATTCTCCCATTTGTACTCTGGTCTCAGCCAGGACTCAAGGCAGCCTGAAACCCAGAAGTAGGCACGAGAGCACAGAGGGAGCTCTAAGGGAAGCTCTCTAGTTCTTGCTCAAGTTGTGGGAAACAATTCCTGATGCTCAGAGGCAGTTGGGGAAATCCTCTCATTTTCTTCTTTTTTTGTCTTTGTTCTCTCATGCCCCAGCCACCAAGTAACCTGACCATGGCGGTGGCAGTAACAGCAGTGGTACCAGGGACCCACAGGCACCTAAAGCACTTAATGGATGGTAACCTTCTCTTAAATTAGAGGAGACGTGGTCCCAAGAAGGTTGGGCAAACCCGTTGCTTATTTTTCTCTGTCCCCCCACTGCTTGGCCATAGGTACTGGTGCAGTTAATGGAAATACAAAGTGGAACAGAGTAACTAGAGCCCCAGCATTCCTGGAGGACCAAAAAGAGGAGTCCTGAGGAAACAGAAAGTACCAGGTTGACAAAAGAAAGGAAGGAACTCAGGAAAGTGAGCCTGTAAAGATATTTATGAACTCCTGGATTCACCCATAAGCTCATTTGTATAGACTTACCCTAAACATGTACCAAAGACTTTGAGAACTGAACTAAAGATTAGATAACCTTAAGACCATAGTCCAGGTCTTATACTAGCCACTTAGTGGACCACACAGGGACACATCTGAATACCACCACAAAAGCTTTGAAAATGGAACTGACACTGAAACTGTAAGCCACAAAAGGCTGCTTGAAACTTGTGCCCTGAACCCAACTTGGTTGATTGCCTGTTGAAACAAAAATATTAACCTCTTTGGATTTAGATTAGACACAGTCTCATAACACAGTATCCAGAATATCACCCCAAATTACTTGACATATGAAGAATCAGGACCATTTTAACTCACTTAGGAAATGGCAATGAAATGGTCAAAAAACACCAACGCAAGATGATGCAAATAGTAGGTATTATAGAAATGCTCCAGGGGGAAAGGGCTTGAAACAAATGGAAAGATAAAAAGTCTCAGAAAAGAAACAGAACCAATAAAGAAGAACCAAATGAAATTTTAGAACTGAACAATGCAGTAACTACAGTGGATTTAATAGCAAAATGGAGATCACAGAGTAAAGAGTCAGTGAAGTTGAAGAAATCAATAGAAAATATCCAGTCTGAACACAGAGGAAAAAAAGATTGAAAAAAATTAAGTCTCAGAGACCTGTGGGGCAATAACAGTAAGTCTAACATTTGTGTCATCAGAATCCTAAAAATAATGGCTATAGAAACTTCTTTATGGCAAAAAATATAAACCTACATATTATGTAAGTTCAGCAAATCCCAAAAAGGATAAACCCAAAGAAATCTGTGCTCACACACATCACAATCAAACTGCTGAAAAACAAAGACAAGAAAACTTAAAAGCACCCAGAGAGCAACATTTGGAATGACAGTGGATTTCTCACCATAAGTATAGGGTAGAGGCCAGAAGGAAGTGTCATAACATTCTTGAAGTACAGAAATAAAAGCACTGTCAACTGAAATCCTATATCCAGTGAAAATATACATTCGTAATAAAGGTTAAATAAAAACATTCTCATACGAAGGAAAATTAAGAGAATTTCTTGCCAGCAGTCCTAGAATTGCTGAATGCAATTCTTCAGATAGAAGAGAACTAAGGACAGAAGGAAATTTGGGACATTAAGAATGAAGGAAGAGGAATAGAAATTCTAAATATGTGGCTATTTTTTCTTTTGATATCTCTAACATATATATGATGATTGAAAGCAAAAATTATATTGTCTGATAAGGTATTCAGTGCATGAAAATGCAATATACAAGACAACTGCAGTATGAAGGGGATAGGGTAAAAGGTTTTATATGTGATAAGACTTCTACATTCTACTCAAAATAGCAAAATATTCTAAGTAGACTGAAAAATATGTATATAGAGCAAACACTAAAAAACTATATAGGCCGGGCTCGTGGCTCACGCCTGTAATCCTAGCACTCTGGGAGGCTGAGGCGGGCGGATTGCTCAAGGTCAGGAGTTCGAAACCAGCCTGAGCAGGAGCGAGACCCTGTCTCTACTATAAATAGAAAGAAATTAATTGATCAACTAACATATATACAAAAAATTAGCTGGGCATGGTGGCGCATGCCTGTAGTCCAGCTGTTCGGGAGCTGAGGTAGCAGGATTGCTTGAGCCAGGAATTTGAGGTGCTGTGACGTAGGCTGACGCCACAGCACTCACTCTATCAGCCTGGGCAACAAGTGGACTCTGTCTCAAAAAAAAAAAAAAAGCCTAAAAAATTCCTTAAAATGGAATACTAAAAAAAAATTCCTTAAAATGGAATACTAAAAAATGTTCAAATAATCCAAATGAAGAAAACAAAGGGAAAACAGACAAAGACAGGGAACAAATATAAACCAAATAATAAAACAGTAGACTTGGCTGGGCACGGTGGCTCACGCCTGTAATCCTAGCACTCTGGGAGTCCAAGGCAGGTGGATCGTTGGAGCTCAGGAGTTTGAGACCAGCCTGAGAAAGAGTGAAACCGTATCTCTACTAAAAAACATAGGAAGAAATTAGCTGGACAACTAAAAATATATAGAAAAAAATTAGCCAGGCATGGTGACATTAGCTGTAGTCCCAGCTACTTGGGAGGCTGAGGCAGGAGGATGGCTTGAGCCCAGGAGTTTGAGGTTGCTGTGAGCTAGGCCGATGCCACGGAACTCATTCTAGCCTTGGCAACAGAGTGAGACTCTGTCTCAAAAAAACAAAAACCAGTAGACTTAAATTCAAACATATCAATAACTACATTAAATATAAATGACAAAATTATCAGAAATAGACTGTTAGAATGGTTTTTTTTAAATGACCCTATTACATGCTGTCTGTAAGGAACTCACTTCAAATATGATGATATAACTTGGCCGGGTGCAGTGGCTTATGCCTGTAATACCAGCACTTGCTATTTCAAGTGGAATGTAGGCTGAGGAGGGGAAGATAATGAAGTCAGGAGTTCATGACCAGCCTGAGCAACATAGTGAGACCCCATGTCTACAAAAAAAGAAAAACAAATTACCCAGGCATGGTGGTGCACACCTGTAGTCCTTCCTAGCTACTTGGGAGGCTGAGGCAAGAGGATCACCTGAGCCCTGGGAGTTTGAGGACACAGTGGGCTATGATCACACCATTGCACTCCATCCTGAGCCACAGAGGAAACTGGCCCAGAAATTAAATAAATAAATAAAGATGTAACTAAAAGGATGGAAAAAGATAGACATACAAATGCTTATCAGAAGAAAGCTGGAGTGGCTTGATATCAGACAAAGTAGACTTCAGAGTAAAGAAAATTACCAAGGATAAAGAGGGATATTACATATTGACTAAAGGCTCAATTCACCAAGAAGATATACCAATTTTAAATGTGCACGCACCTAATGAGAGTCCCAAAATATACAGTAAAAACTGACAGAATTGAAAGGAGAAATAGACAATTTAATGTAAGTTGGAGACTTTGGCACCCTACTTTCCAATGCAGTTGGCCCTCTGCATCCATGGATTCAACCAACTGGTTCAGAAATATTTGGGGAAAAACCAATAAAGAATAACACAAGTTTAAAAATACAGTATAACCATTTATATAGCATTTGCCTTGTATTAGGTATTATAGGTAGAGATGACTTCATCTATACAGGAGGATGTGTATAGGTTATATGCAAATACTACGCCATTTTATATAAGGGATTTGAGCATCCATAGATTTTGGTATTTATGGGGGTGGGGAGAGTGCCCTGGAACCAACACCCTTCAGATACTTTGAGACAACTGTAATATATAGAACCAACTAGGCAGAAGATCAACAAGAATATAAAAGACTTGGATGATACTATAAACCAGGGGTCCTCAAACTTTTTAAACAGGGGGCCAGTTCACTGTCCCTCAGACTGTTGGAGGGCCGGACTATAGTTTTAAAAAAAAACTATGAACAAATTCCTATGCACACTGCACATATCTTATTTTGAATTAAAAAAAAACAAACAGGCAAAAACACCCACATGTGGCCCACGGGCCGTGGTTTGAGGACGTCTACTATAAACCAACTAAACCTACCAGACATCTATAGAACACTGCACCCAACAAAAACAAAACACATTTTTTAAGTGCCCATGGAAGATTCACCAAGATAGACTGTATCCTGGGCCATGAAAAACCTTTAACAATTTAAATTGAATCATACAAAATATGTTTTCTGACCATTATGTAATC